GTTAGGTGACGATGTAACTGGTTATGCAGAGATGTGATTGGCAGTTAGGTGATGATGTAACTGATTATGTAGAGATGTGACTGGCAGTTAGGTGATGATGTAACTGATGATGTAAGCTTTACCAACCAGCTTCTGCACAGGAAAAGAGACTGGGCAGTGTACTCATGAGGGTTCATGCCCTGGAAGTCCTTGGGGCAGCGAGACACTACAACCTCTCACTTCTCCCTGACGGTGAATAGCCCATGTCCCTGAGCTGTGGCTGGAATACAAGGGAAAGTCTGGAGCTCCCTTTCCTCACAAATGCCCTAAACTTGTCCCTGCACTGTAATAATGGGGGACAGAATGAAAATCAATGTCCAGATCCAGGGTTGGTCTGAAAATGGCAGCAAAGGCCACCTCTATTCACCCATTTCTAGGTTCCAGGCCCCCTCAGAAGCAGGAGACTCCAAGTCCTTGTCGGGCACAGCTTTCCTTTGGGCTCTATGGCATGTTTCAAACAGCCAGACCAGCATTCACATCTAAATTGCACTTTAGGATTGACAAGTATTTTCAAAGACCTGTTTAGCCCTATAGCAGGCAATAACTTTGACAATTAGTTGACATTTACATTCTTAGAACTTCATAGTGGGCAGCATACAATGGGGGAGCCAGAAACCCACCATTCACTTCAATCTGCATGGTCTGTGTGGGCACCGGGCAGTCAGGTTGTGACCACTGGGACTTGGAAGCCAGAATGCACTCAGAATGGTCACCTCATGGTATGTAGAGTGAAGGGGGGATAATCAATGGCCCTTTTACTTTTAAATATTAAATGTAGTAGTTATTTGAGGTTCCCTCACAGGGACTGAACTTTATAAAAAAGTGTCCGGGTCAGGAGAATAGCTGTATCTTCTCCCATCACTGCCATCCAGTCACTGGATGGCTATGCTGTGATTTCTATCCCCTGTGGCCATGAGACCCTCAAAATACTGTGAACACACCAGGATTAAGCAAACAAAGCCAAGATAATGAAAAATCAATAAAATGAAGGAACAGTGGATTCAGGAACAGCAACACGGACAGGATGGCAGAGGTGGGGAGGGTCTACCCACCTGCTGCCACTGAGGCGGCAGCCAAGAGCAGCCTAGTCATGACCAAGCGTGCTGGCAGTCTATTCCAAGAGGAAGCCATGGGATCCGACTGTTTGGAAGAGACTCGTCTTTGCAATGAACAATGAGAACAGAGTACAGGGTGCCTTGTTCAGCTGAGAATCACTGTGATGTGAAGACCTTCAAAAATGACTGAGTATCAAATAGTCACACAGGACACAGATGGTCAGAGAAGATGTGAGTATGGTGAGATTCCTGTGTGAGCTCTCAGCAAGAGCTAGGAGGGGAAGTGGCCTGGGAATACACAGCACCCACAACACACACGGAGGGTGTCCTGAGGGGCACGCCCCTCCTAGACCTGCAAGTCCCCCGGCAGCCACGGCACACATGTCCAGCTGAGTCAAGAAACAGGAAATGCAGACAGTCCCGTACATCTGCACGTATGCTTTCTTCAGAGCATGAGCAAAGGCAGAACCTCAGAAGGTTCATGTTTTATGCAGATAATGCGCACTTCCTTTTCTGCAAACTGTGCACCCCTCTCTCCCATTAGGTTTTCAGAAGAGCGTAGGCACCGCGCACGGGCACACCGGACGTCTGTGCATGGCATGTGGACATATGCGTTATGTACAAAACTGGGGTGGAGCAGAAATGGAAATGGTTGCATCAAAATGCCAGTCATTTCTCTGTAGCCTTAGCTGAAGTGCAATTGTAAAAAAACCCCAAAGAAAACAAGACAATTTTAAAAGTCCAAGGAAGGGGTTAAATATTCAGTCCTTCTCCTGGGAGTGAGGCAGGTGGACTGTAGAGTCCCTGATTCCATGGAAAACGAAACAAAATGCCCCAAGCAATTGCCACATTTGAATATGATGCTAGCCCTTTCATGCTCTGGGGGAAAGAGGGAATTATTGAAAACTCAAGGACTCTGAGACTTGAATCTATTTACTCTAGAATGTGACACTGGGAAGTGTACACTGTCACTATTTCTGTGGCCAATTTAATCTTTGCCTGGAGCTACGATCAAATTCCATGTAGTTTATGTCAGTATGTACAGAGAAAAAAAAATTAAATTAAATAAGCCCAGTGCAGTTGCATCAATAAAATGATAAATGTTAAAAACAAATAAAAATAAAACCCCTTTTGAACTTTAAAAACAGAAAATTCTAAGTAGCAGGAGAGGATGAATTCTTTGGGTGTTCACAGCAATGTGATTTCATGGAAATTCTTACTGGGAAGGACTTCTGACTGTTTTGGCTCTGGTTTTGGTCTCATATGCACATCCACAGCATTTTAAGCAAATAGCGCATTATATATTTTCTACAAACATGTTCTGCCCACCATCACCCCAAGTATTTTTAAAGTGTGAGTATTTCTAATGTGTTACTGTACAGTTCTTCCATCATATGCTTATGAAAACACTAGGGTAGGGCTTCTGAAAGTAGCACACGTGTTGTTCGTGTAAATTTTGGCACGCAGTTCTCTGGCCTCATTTCTAATCTCTCTCTCAGCTCCCTTCTCTCTTGGTTTCTGACAAAAAGGCACCAGGTACTCTCTTCCTGGGAGCCAGAGTTTGTATTGGCAAGAGTCCAGTGTCAAGAAGGTTTTCTGCTTTAAAAAAATCCTGCCATTCCTAAGTGCTAGGAGGCAGCCTGGGGTGGTAGAATAATGACTGTCCAGGAAAGGGCTGCGGAGCCCTCACACACATCACCCCTCCTCCTCTCCTATGCTAAGTGGTCAGGCTGTCTGAAGCAATGTCCCAGCTCCGCTTGTGCAGTGGGGTCTCCCGGGACACCTGTCCCCCTGCAGATCTGTAAGTGTGGAGGCGGCTATTTTAGATGCTTACTGCTATGACAGAGACTCCAGCGGCTGTGCTGTTGGGCTTGGGCCCCGTGTTGAAGTGTTTTCTTATCTTCCCAGCCACTGACAGCTGATGCTCATTCTCTGGGAAGCCGTCGTCCTGGGAAAGAAGCAAGGATGAGAGAGAAAAAGGTCAGTAGGAAATGAAGCCAGAATCTTCTCATAACAGGCTTAGATTCAGAATTTGTGGCAAATAAAAGAGAGTGTCTTCTTGTCAAAAATGAAATACTGAAAGGATCCTACAATGAACTGAATCACAAAAGCTTTTCCCTAAATAAACTTGTGTGAGTCCTGGTGACCCTTGGTCATCTTCTGCAGCTACAAATCTTAATGAGAGGACACACATCGTCTTTTCCCCATGATGCAGCAGGTAGAGTGGAACCTCTGACCTTTTGGTTAGTGTTCCAGCACATAACCCATTGTACCACCAGGGCTTCTTTCTCTGGATAAAAGAAACTATGATTTCCAATAAAAATCTACTTTCCAGTTACTCTTCTAGGAGCAGATACAGTGTCGTTCATTTGGAGTGTTAGGAGGGAGGGAACCAATAGAAATGCTTTTTCTTCCCTCCCCAGCCACCCCAACAGCAAAGCTTGACCCACTTAACTCATCGGTCAGAGGCACTGATGGGCCTTGCAGACGGACTCAGGTCAAGCCTGATCGACATGTGCACAGCAGGCACCTCTCCTGGGGAGAGCCTTCCTTCAGTCTGAGCCCTCCTCACTGCCCGCGAGGCTGTCCCCATGGGTGGGCCACAGCTGTGGAAGGACACTGCCTCCAAGGACCATGGGATGAGGAAGCGTGCTGACCACGAGGAGCCCCTGGAGGCCCTCTGGAGGGGCTATGTAGTGCTGAGTCCCCGTGGACCCTGCTTCCCTGCACTCTGAGAGAGTGGAATTTTTTCTGTTTTACCAATTGAAGGCTCTGGCCACAGTGTGTCCAGCATGTCCACTAGCATCATTCCCCCACACCTGTGCTCACATCGATGCAGAGAGCTGTGTGCTGTCTCCATCTGTGTGTGACCCAGGGCCTGTGTGGACATCAGAGTGGCTGTGGGGTCATGCACAGAGCATGATGCAGAGCATAGAGCTGTCTGCCACATCTATGTGTGCCATGGAGCCCTGTGAGGACAGCAGAGTGGCCATGGGGACACTGGCATAGAGCACAGAGCTGTGTGTACCTGTCTGACATGGGCACCTGTGAAGGTTACGTGGCTCCACAGGTAACAGGTGGCAGGGGGAGGTCAGATAACACTGGGTGCGGTGACTCTGAGCTGGGCTTGGATTTGCAATGGGGCCTTTTACCACCAGCTGGCCTCAGATCATTGTTCACTACTGTGGGGCCTCACAAATTGGTGGGGATACCTCTAACTTCACATCTGAAAATACTCCAGGACATTATGCAGTGAAAGAGGGTGTGACTGAGGGAGCTCGCTCACACACACACACACACACACACACACAAGCACAGATGCAGACACACATGTGCACACATGCACGTGTACATGTGTGCACACAGA